CAGGCTGGGTGTGTGCAGGTGCACGTATGAGTGTGCACGCACGTGTGTGAACGTGAGCATACAGGCATAGGCTGCGGGCTGGGTGTGTGCAGGTGCACGTATGACTGTGCACGCACGTGTGTGTACATGAGCATGGAGGCGTAGGCCGCGAGCTGGGTGTGTGCAGGTGCACGCACGAGTGTGCACGCACGTGTGTGTATGTGAGCATACAGGCGTAGGCCGCGGGCTGGGTGTGTGCAGGTGCACGCATGAGTGTGCACGCACGTGTGTGTACGTGAGCATACAGGCGTAGGCCGCGGGCTGGGTGTGTGCAGGTGCACGCACGAGTGTGTACGTGAAGGCATCTCTGCAGCCATACCTGAACAGCATGATGGGAAAGAGGAAGGTCCCCGCTCCTCCAACCTGCTCCTCCTACCTCGTCTTCAGGCTTGAAGGATTCTGCATATGGTCCCAGGAAAAGCTAAGGAGGGGCCTCTACCGCTCCTGGAACCCTCCATTTCTACTTCCTGAGTCATGACCTCAATGCTCTCTCCTGGCCTCCCGCAGGAGGTCCCTTTGTACCCTCGGCACTGAGGCACGGCTGGCAGAGCTGGGCACGCGCACTGCCAGGAGTGAAAGATGAGGACTGGACCAGGCGGGGCAGGGACGGTGGAAGGGTGGGCAGAAAACCTGGTGCTGCTGCTAGGAAGTGGGGACCGAGTGGGCCTGAGGCTGGGGGAGCTGCCAGCACCACCAGAGGGAGCCCGGACGCCAGGAGAAGTGGACCAAACACCTGGGCTGGTGGGAGAGAATGCACCTGCACCGGGCCAAGTGCCTAGAGACCCCACCTGCCCCCTGGATCTCCCGGCACAGGCCAGGTCCCTGCCTCTCCACGCACAGCCAAGTGGGTTCAGTGCTCAAGTTCCTACCACATCCCTGAAGGTCAACTCAAGGGGAAACCCAGCTGGGGCTTGGCGCTCACGTCTAGCCCGGTCCCTGGCCTCGGAGACTGGATTGGGGCTGGGAAGACAGGCTGCCGGAAGCATCAGGAGGGCTGGAACAAGCCCATCTCCCTCCTCAGAATCTCCTCCCGCGACCAAGTCAGGGAAGACCAAAGCATGGCCATGTTCCACACGAGAGCCAGCCCCGGACTGCGCGTGCGCACACGGCCCACAGCAGGTTTACGTCAAAGGACAAAATCCTAACAGCGTGGACACCAGCCTCCAGGACAAAGCCAGGGTCTGGCTGGGGTGTCCCAGGAGTGGCAGCCCGTGCCCCAAACTGTTGAGAGATGGAGAGGCCGGTCCGGGGCCTCATCCACAGATGCCACCTAGGATGCCGCGCAGGAGACATAGTCTCGTGGTTTGGGGGACAGGCAGAATGTGCTGGCCTTGTAAAGTGCTGTATTGTTCTGGAAAGGGTCCTGATCCGGAGAGCACTCCTGCGGGGGCTAAGGTGGCACCATCATCCCAAGGGAGCACCCCCAGGGATGAGGTGTGACTGCAGTGCGTGGATCTGAGGTCCCTGGAGAGAGGGCTGGGGAGGCGGGGGGCCCAGGACCCCGTCTTTTCTTGCGGCTAAAAACCTCTTTTCTTCGTAAGTACCAGACCAGGGGTTCTGTTACCATCCCAGAAAATAACAAAGGCAGCGCTACCTGCTTTTCAGCACCTCCTGCATCTTCTGCTCCAGCTCGATCCGCCGCTGCCGCTCCCGGTCCAGCTCCTGACGCAGCATCTCCGAGTTCGTTTCTTCTCGAAGCTTCCGGAGCTCCTCCTCTGTAGAGAGATCAGGGGAGCAGCGTTCACACTATGGCCCTCCCAGGTCTACCCTGGCTGGGGGAGCAGCTCTCGGGCCCAGCTTCTGAGAAGAAGCGGCTAACTGGGGCTCCCCCCACATGGGAGCCGCCACCGGAAGCAAGGATGAGGCCTGCTTTGCTTACGCTCGAATAATGGTGCAAAACAGAACACAAGGCATTTCACCAGCCACCACTGCCCCTAGGACAGCCCAGCACTCAGCAGCCCAGCAGCATCAACTCTACACCGTGTGCCTGCCAGGTTCCGGGGATGGCTGTGTGGCAGGGGCGTTGGGCTGGTGGGTGAGCCCCCAGAGTGTACAACACAGGGTCCAGGCATGGGGTGCAGGAATCCCTGAAAATCTCCCTCCCCCCCCCCAGTGAGGCCGGAGACAAGCGGAGCAGGGCGGCAGGCAGCTGGGGAAGGATGCTGGGCAGAGGAGGGCAGGGATGGAGCTCAGAAAGCCAGACTGGCGGCCTGGGAGAGGGGAGGGGCCGGGGTCACCAAGGCGGCAGCTCTGGAGCCGCTCAAGTCAAGACGCCAGACATTTCCTACTCACTTCCTTTGTTTCTGAGCTGGGTATGCAGGACTCCTCCACACCACAGCCCCACGACCACGGAGTCCATCCCGTCCACCCTGCCCACCTCGGCAGGAGGAAGTGGCCCCAGGGCACACATCATCCCCCCCCCCACCACAGATGCAAGGGTATCCATCCAAGCCCAGCAGGAGCACCGACCTTCGCTGGGGCAGATGGGCTCCACCTTCAGCTAAAGGCTTCACTAGGACTGAAGCCAAGTGACCATGCCCAGTCCCTGCGCGTGGGAGCCCTGAGCCCCGGCAGGCAGGGGGACAGGGGCACAGCGGCAGCGTCCTGGCAGCAAAGGGCACTGGGGACCTCCTGGCAGCGTGGTGAAAAGCAAGACTCGACACAAAGGAGGCACCAGCATAAACCAGATTCCACATTGACCCCTCTTCCTCCTCACAGGACGGGAAGAAGAGCGACCCACCCACTGCCCATGGTGGGGGGGAGCAGGGAAAGAACTCGCTCAGAGGCAAACACTGCACTACCAGGCCATAGCATCCTGTCAGGGCCCTCGTTCACCAACAAGCCCGGCCCGGGATGGCCGCTGGCTGGGGGAAATGGGAGGGCGTGTCTCTGCAGCCCAGCCACACCCAGCTGGCCGAGCGCTGGCTAGCCACCTCCTATACCCACATGACTCTGTTCCTCGGCAATGGCTGGCAGGCTGAGCCACGGCCCCAGCGACCTGCAGGCCCCGGGAAAGGCCGTGCTTAGCCCAGCAGGCCTGGGCACCCATTCTTGTGTGCCAACTCGGGGCCCACACAACTCTCAGGGCTGAGTGAGACACACAGCACCACGGCCATGAGCAGAGAATTAGAGATGTCCACGGACGCAGGCATGCACTGGCCTCCCTACAACTTCACCCCTGCAGCACAGAGACCCCCACCCCCTGGCCCAGGAGGCACTGGGCTCCAATGAGTACCCAGCCCCCCACCACACGGCTCCAATCTCCACGCACCATCACAGGTCTGCAAGCTGGGAGGCCTCATGTGCCAGGCAGGGAACCCTGACATAAAGAAGCGACCAAAGCCAGGCGCGGTGTGTGCTCGAATAGTCCAACGTTCACTCGGGAGGCTGAGGCAAGAGGATCAACCAGGAGGTCCAGGCCTGCTGTCAAAACACCAAACCAGCCAGGCGCCGGTGGCTCTCGCCTATCATCCTAGCTTCTCAAGAGGCTGAGATCTGAGGATCCAGGTTCAGAGCCAGCCTGGGCAGGAAAGTCCGTGAGACTCTTATCTCCAATGAATCACCAGAAAACCAGAAGTAGAGCTGTGGCTCAAAATAGTGGAGTGCTGACCTTGAGTAAACCAACTCAGGGACAGTGCTCAGGACCTGAGTTCAAGCCCCATGATTAAAATTAAAAAAAAAAAAAGGGCTGGGAAGGTGGCTCAGTGGTAGAGTGCTTGCCTTGCATGCCTGAGGCCCTGGGTTCGATTCCTCAGCACCACATAAGCAAAAAGAAAAAAGC